TGTCGCACGAGTACACGCTCCCTCGTTAATTTACCGGGGATATATCTTTAGCAGCTGCTTCTTATTCTCACCTATTTGATTGTCCCTGAAAATTTTAGTAAAACAACAAACACGACAAAGTCTTCGTTCTGTTTGTTTTTGTTGAGACATTCAAGCTAGTTGTTTTGTCTTTTTTTTCGTTTTCTGCCGTTTTACTTGCGTGAACCGACAACTATTGGTAGAAAATGCGACACGCATCTGGGCTTTAATGCATGCCCCATCAATATGCTTTGCTATGAGCTGTATGCGATCTGTGACTGTCAAAAATTCGTTGACCGTGCCTCACTAATACTATATAAAGAAAAATTTTAATTTTAATTTAATTTTTTAATTTTTTTATTTATATTTACTGAAACAAGTTGGGTTACGTTTGTTCAATTCCGACAATTGGACGCTTCCTGAACAACGGTTGGCTTTTAAAGAAGCAAGTTGTTTAACTCAGTACCGTTCTTTTGAACCCGATTTCATCCTTGAGGCGTGTCAGTGGAGGGCAGCTTTAGCGTGTGCCACCCTGTTCTCCACCAGTTGAAAGGCGCAAGTGGCAACAACTTGTGAAAAATGGGCTAGTGCTGCGCTAAACCTCCCCCTCTGACAAGCCCCAGCATACGCAGCGATCAAGTCTGGAAGGAGTAGCATGGGTGAAGCGGTAGAGGAGAAGAGCACAAGGAGTGCTTCCTGTGGAAAACCTTGTTTTGACGAATAACAGACGATCCTCTGGTTCACACTACTTCATTTCCAGCGCTACCAAACCCTTTTGCTCTACCTCTTCTTGCTTCTGTCCAGTTCTTCTGTTCTACCGTATCACTAACCGCGGGTTTTCGTGTGTATATGATCTTCCCTTCTTTCTTGAGCAACTGTCGCCGTTCTCTAGTGTTACAGCTTTCTTAGACTACGTTCATGCTTCGCGCCAACGTTTTGAACATTTGAAAGACTTAGTGTATATGTAGCGGTCTGGCGTACGCCATGTCTCAGGGACTTGCGCCTTCCGATAAGGCTCAAAAGGCTGTCACGCGCTTTTACTGCCCCCCCAAAACGCCCTAGATACGATATATTTCCTAGTATTCAGTCTGCCCAGTTCGTCTAAAACGCTGATGCAAAGTGTGAATGAAAACACTGCTACCGGTTTTCAGTGGGGCGGCTGTTGTGACAGGAACTCACGTCAGTTTTATTTGGTGTTCTTGGTTGAAATGAACTCTTCAAGCTACTTTATTTTAGGGCAACGTTTCGGGACTTAAAGCCCTTCAGGGCCTACAAATATATATAATATAATATCTACCGATTACACTTAGGCATCACTTCTAGCTAAATTGAACAAAATTATTGGCGATACGAAATATGCGACTAACCGAATAGCAAAGCAAGTGGTTTTGGTCCAGGGAACGGGCTCTGTCGCCCGGGTAAGCTTGCATGAATGCACATGAAAGTACTGGTTCGGAGGACGCTGCAGGGGGGGAGGGGAAGGGGAGGGTCAGATATGGCGAGGACTCCACTTATCTAGCTGTCCACTCTTGCAGAAATCAAGCAGCTAGATCGATGGTGGTGAGGGTAAGAGTGATGTCGTCTGATATCCTTCAAGTCACCATATGTCACGTAATGGTCATTCAGTAAGGTCCTGTAGTGCAGTGATGATCTCCAGACTTGCTCGCAGCTCCTCCCCGTTGTTGATTGGAGGGCGCCTTTGTCAATCAACAACAGGGAGTCGCATATTTCGTATCGCCAATACTTTCTTGTTCAATTTAGCTAGAAGTGATGATGCACTGGAGCTGGATCGTAAATATTAAAAAGGATAAAGGATAAAGTCTGTCGCCATTAATAATCCCTTTGTGGGATGCGGCGACGACAATGGTTCTCTTCCATTCAGAATCGTAGTGGCTTATTGAATGCGATGTGGCCTATACAATGACTTGCGGTGGCCAGCCGATGTACAAGTCAGTGTTTTATCCTCCCAGACGAATCTGGTACCAATTTACCGTCCCGGGCGTAGATAGGATTGTGTGGCCTGGCGGTGTCGACCCGGGGATTCGACACCCGAACCGCGCGGCGAAAGCCGCATGGGCCACTTGTCAGCTACACACACCCCCGGCCTCATTGGCTGAATTATAATTGTATATATTGTAGGCCTGAAGAAGGGCTTAAGGCCCGAAAACGTTGCTAAATAAATATCTTGAAGAGTTTCATTCAACAAGAAAACACAGAAGATATTAAACCATGAAACTCAGGAATCCTATGATACTGTCAGTTTTTTTTATTAAATTTGTAATATGTGGCATTAATTTTTGTAATATACAAATAGCTGGCTGTGAAGTGTCAGCACTAAAAATAATTTTTTTTCCGAAACAATGTCACCAAGGTTGTAGTACCATTGTGGTCTGCTCTACTGTAATTTTTGTTCCAGTTCTTCGAATATGATATCCAGAGATCATGCGGATATCATAGGTGTGAAGGGTGCAAGTGGCCGAATCGAAAAATATCACATTAACGATCGTTCACTCAATGGCACATACATCAACGATCAGAGGGTGAGTAAATGCTTCTACAATGATTTTCTACTCTCATTCTATTTCACACTTTTATTTTGTTACATTTTGTATATTCTATGTTGTTGGATCTTTTTTGATTGACAGTAAGAACTGAAGCGCTATTCTTCTGAGGTGGGAACTTTGACTCGCGTTCGCATGGTGTTCAGACGCCTCCTCTGGACATTGAAGTCCTGTCCACGGAGGAAGAACAACTTTTGAGATTAAAAAATGCTTGAGAAAAGCGTGACCTGCTCGCAACGAGTCCACGGCCCTTCTCACTATGCACGGCAACACCCAGCTCCCATGTCTAAAGGTATCCTGGCGGTGCGATTGTTCCGCTATTCTGCCATCAGGAATGGTGAAAGTGAGGTGATAGAAACAAAGAGCTACTCTTATAGGCGCGGTTCAACATGGGATTCCGTATGGGCATTTCCGGCGGGTTTTTTCTCTGCTTTTTTTTCTTGACTACTGTGTTAACTACTACCCTTTCATTAGTACATGAGCCGCACAGCTCACCATTGTTTATCGCGATGTGTGCCTTTGAAAGGCCTTCGTGCGAAATTGGGATTACAGTTATGCCAGTAGTTCGTGCCGAGAGAATTTGACTCGCTTACGCAAAGTCTCCACCCACTCTACGTTGACGCGGAAATTCTCATTCTGCATCAATTTAACCCAGGGATTCCTTTGCACTGTTACCTGAGAGGGCGCCCTCGTTTTGGGTTCTCAGGCTGCACTTGACAAAGGTGTGCTGGTTTTGATCCATGATGTTGTATGGAAAGACCATAAGAATACCGGCAGTCACCTAAGGTGCCCTAGGGACCTGATCGAGAAGTTTCCGCCCACTCCATAGTCGCGATAAAGTCCGATAAGACAGGAAGTGCTAAAGATCTGCCAGGAAAAGTGACGTAATAGCAGAAAAGGCTGATATTTTTGATCGATACCTCATATCAAGAACTCAAGACACATCGCCGTATGCTCCTTGCGATGTTGAATCCGAAGGGGTTTTACATAAGGCGTATTTGACTTTTTTTGGCTTTTTCACAGATGCGTCAATTAGCGCTTCGCATCTCATACTTTAAGGCCGCTACGTTCCTTTTGTCTTAGTACATTGTGACCCTGAGTGTCTCACTCTGCTGTAGTGGAGCCAAAGCTAGCGATGAATATTAAATTTTACAATGTTCAGCGTGCCGTTTCTGATGTCTTAGGGTAATGGAACCGAGGTTTTTTTCTCGGAACAAAACTTTCGTCATATGAACGGCAAAGCCGCCGCCCCGTCTACCTTACTGCTACAAAGGGATAGATGTGAGGGGCAGAAGCCTCTTTACGAGCGACGAGCGATGCTTCCCCCTTGTGGTTTTTAGCTGCTAAAAAAGTACATCGTGCATCCTTGTACGAACGGCTCGATATCCAAAGAAGGCGTTAGAACATCAAATGGAACGCGGGCACTTCCTTCAAGAAATTTCCAAACTCTGCACCTCTACGTAGACACATAGTCACAGTGGAAAACATGAAGGGATGTATCAGGTCATATTCATTTAAGGGAAAGTTTTCTTGATTGTTAACTTTTTCCAACCCTTAGTTAGCTGTCGTAGATGGGGAGTGTTTGCCCCTCCCTTACCATCTCCCTCGACGGCAAAATCCTAGTAGAAAGCGGGCGTTCGCCGAAAGCGTTGGTAGATTTTTAAATAGGACCCAAGGAAAAAGAGAAGAAGAAAGTTGGTGGGAGGGGGTGAAGGCGGGGGCGGGATATCCTGTTGCTCTAGCCCTCTCTACACGCTTTGATGTGTCATGCGCGGTAACGCGGCAACATACGCTTCTGAAAGATGGGTATTGATTGTTAAAGCGCACAATCAATAGCTATCATTGTAATATCAACCGGAAGAATGTACAAGCCCATACTTGAGCTGACAAGAATAGTCTTGTTGATTTCCGCGTTTTAAACGTAACTTCGCAGTCATTTTCAAATTGTGATAGCGAGCGTGACGTTGTTCTAAACAATTTCATCTTATGGATATGTGGGGCAATTGGTCTGATATTCAATTGGTCAATGCATTGGATCCAGTGCATCCCTTTGGGGTATGGTGAAAAGTACATGTTTGGTTTTTGGCAACTAGTATATTTCTTTTTTGATGGACTGGTCATCTTTTTTTCGGAGTTTTGGGTTTGAGCTCATTTCTAGAAAAGATTGACTTGAACACAGAAAGAACTGTAGGGTTCCTGTTGGCTCTGAAATTCCTATTGACTCGAAAAAAGGGCTACTTTGGTAGCAGCTTGTTTTGGGAATGTGTCGGGACATTCCTCCAAGCTTACCATTTATATGAATCGAAATTGTCATTTGGAGAAGCTTTTGGTGAAGAATGTACGCTTTACCCGAGGTTGTCTGTGCTAGTCCATGATCGACTTCCTGCAATTGTGGTATTGAAAATCATTCTCGTATATATTCAAGTGTACAGCATTGGAGGGCCAAGGGCCTGTAACTTAGGGGAGCTCATGACCTATCATCTTCGGAAATTGCGTACATATTTGTCTCACAACCCTTTGGGCGAATATTTATAAAACATGCGTAACTACACTTTTACGTGGTCCCACAAGCGCACTTACTAAGCAGTTTTATGTGTTTTGAAATTACACCTTTTCCTCTCCACGTGCTTCCGAAGTATAATGGACCTACTGGCCCATTGACCCTGGATTTCTGCAAAAATTTCAACGCCAGGACTATATCAGCTTGGACTTAACATGGTGGCGTTTGTGTAACCTGCCTGCATGCACTGCTATAACATGCATATCATAACAAAATTTTTCATTGCCATGGCTACAGTTCTAACTACGTTTATCCTTTTTTGAGCGGTAGTTGTGGCTATGTGTACAAACTCTTTTCACAATTTCAGGTTAACAGCACCATGCAGATTATGGAAGGTGATGTGATAAAATTTGGTCATATGAATGGAGCTGCGGTTCGTCCTGGACAAACTGCCCCACAGGTAAGAGTTAGATTGGAAACTCGATAGAATCGGATATGCTATTGTAGGCGCGTTATAGTTCATATTTAAATTAGCGTCTGGAATAGAAATGAAAAAAGGCTAGAAATATTCGTGTGAACAGGTTCGTACGTGTTGAAACTTGTACTGAGCTGGTACGGAATTTTCCGTAAGGGGTAGTGGTCATTTGGAGCAATCATGTTGTTCTTACGTGCTAACAAGTAATGGTACGTGTCTAACAAGTTGGCTAACCCAACACTGCCTGTCCGGAAAATGGTTAATTTACCTGACACGTTTTAATGGTTTACCTGACACGATTTAACATGTCCTGGCAAAGTGATCGCGCCAAACGACATTCATCCCTTTGACTGGTTGGCGCCCAAGTGATCGCGTCAAACTTCGTACTCCCGGGAATGGATGACTTTGCATAAGTTCTTCGGGAATGTGGCTATGTCCATCTAGTCTTAAATCCATCTTAAAAGCATGTAAGTGTGATTTTACTGTGAACTTTTATTATTGTCGCGGTAAAATTGTATCTTGTTAGTGAACGTAGAACAAAGCTACTATTGAGATCAGGTACAGGGCACGTCCACGTTGGGGGATTTTCCCCCCTCCCCTCCGGGGTCGCACTTGGTTGTCTGAGGGAGGGGGGTCGTATTTCGTCTGAGAACATTTTTTCATAGTCGTTTTTCCTGTTTCACGAGCGCTGTCCCCATCGTTGGGAGGTTGCAGTGGGGGGAGGGTCGTATTCGCCCTTCACCTCTCTAGGGGAAGCCCCTTCTTTCTCGACAGTGAAATTTCAGGGAAATCTCGAGAAATGTTGTAGCAGGCTTGGAAAAGTCGGGAAGAGAGCGAAGATAGTAGGTACGACGGCTAGAGAGGGTCGTAGTAGAGAACAGAACCAGGGGGAGGGGTATCTCCCAAAAATTTTCTACACATGTCTTTTTATAACTTTGCGATAAGAACAGCGCTAACAGGCAGGGTTCATGATATCGCATTTCATTTCATTCCAAGGGCTAGTGTGTGGTTGCTTCCTTTATCCTGCATTGCAAAATACAATGTAACGCGCTCTTTTGCTGACATCAAATTGAGCTCTACTCAGTTCGGGATGTATTGGACTAAGTTAACGTCACGGCCCAGTCCCTTTTCCATTTTTCTAGGTTCACATCATAAGTTTTTGTCTCAGAATCTCCAGTTTTAGGCCAATGCGGAATTTGCCTTTATGGTGGAACGAGCAAATCCTAGCTACGACTATATAGGCTTCGTGGATGGACGTCGTGTACGACCCGTAACTTGCTCTGGTGATACGGAATACTGCACAGAAATTGAAGGGCGTACCATTGAACATGTGAGCCATTAACTGCGCTAGAACGGTTATTTGAGAGCATCTTATCATGTTTATTACTTTTCCTAGTTCCAGGGAGATGTAGCTCGACCCACGGTGATGCAGTCCGCAAAAGTACCCCCAGTGCAGAATGCATCTCAAAACGTAATTTTTTGTCACTTTTTTGAACTATGAATAGGATCTTTCTCGTAAATAACCTATTTTCAGTTAACCGCGCCTAGCACTACTGCTAGCGTGTCATCGACGGCTGGAGCCAATCCTATGGCTGGACTTATGTGGCCCGGTACCCTTGGTTACAATCAGTCTTTGCCAGGATTCGCTTACAGCGGTTTTCCCATGAATCCAGCTTACTTACAGGTGTGTGCACTGACAAAACCAAAACTTTGAGAAGTCACGCCAGGAACCATTACAGTTTAGCAAGGGCCATTTTCTTCCCTTATATTTCTTGCCCCTTTACAGCCACCACAGTGGGCTCAACATCTGCAAGTTTTACAACAACAAGCGCAACAGTCTGGATTTCGTGTTCCCGATGTTTTTGGTGCTACTGCATGTATGAGCTCTTCAAACGGTCCCCCATCAACGTCGGCTTCTCTTTTCCCACTCACACAGCGAGGATTCTCACTGCAGGTCGGAAATCGCCAACAAACTCTATTTGCCTTATTTTCTTGTCTTTATCGTTTTACTGCTTTTCATGTTGAACTTCATACGTTATTTTTTTACAGAGTAACCCCTTGGTGAATTCTCTCTTGACCACAGCGGCTACACCTGCCGCCAACCAGCAGGCTAATCAACAACAAATACAACATCAACAACATGTAGCACAACAGGTGAGGAAATCAAAGTTAAACTCCCTGATTGCCTACTGTGGGTGCCGTCCAGTTACTAAGCACTAGTCGCTAAGTGAGTCTCCACGGAAGAAGAAAGCAAAATAATTGTGGAGGACACCAAATAAGGACCCCCGGCAGCCGCACTATAGGAGTTCTTTGGGCCTGCTCGTTTCATGCCAGAAAACGATGCTTGAGCCTGTGGCTTGCTAGTTGTTTCTTTGCATCATCCAGTGCTGATACCATCTAACAATGAAAAAAAAAACAAAAAATAC